TACCCAGCAAGGCGCCTCCAGCTGCCACCGGCGGTTGTCCCCATCTCTGGTGACGAGAGATGGAGAGACCTGCTGAGGGCGGGATGCCCCGCTCCGTGCTCAGCCCAAAATTCCCCGGCTGCAGCGTTCCCCCGCATCTCTTCCAAATGATGCCGGCGGAGCTGCCAGGCTCGCCCCATTAAAGGATATTTCACCAAACGAGTCATGATAGCTTAATAAGAATAGCAGCAACATTTTTAATTGAATATAAAAAATGCTGCCCGATCACAAAAGACCCCTCAGCCAAAATATGAGCCATTTTTCGCAGCGAGCAAGATGATGGTTAAAGACAGAACTGGGGTGGGGAAAGGAGAGTCTGGGGATTCCGACCTCTGGATACACAGCCCAGCCGCTGCCGTGCTGCCAGCCGGGAGCGCTGGGCTTTGCACCCCCCCGTGCCGGGGGACAGGAGTGGCCCAGGGACGGTGACACGGTGGCCACGAGCTGGGCATGCACGGCCAGGTGTGCTATAGCCCTCGCGGGGCTGCCGGAGGGAGGAGGCACTTTGAAACTGCTCGGGAAAAGGGGGTTGAGAGGCAGCTGAGGCCACGCTGCTGCGGAAACCCGCAGGCACGAAAGCCTGGTGGTGCCTCCCTCCTTCCCACTCTTCCCCCAGAGCGGAGGAGGTAAAAGCAGCCTTTGCTCCTCTCCCGCTGTCCTCCGCGCCTTTTCCCAGCCCCTTCTCCAAGCAGCATCAAGTAAAGGCGTAAAATCCTTCAGTAAAGAGGGTTTAAAGCTAAACCCGGCTAAATCTCACCCTGCTCTGCCATCTCCCCGATGCGGAGCCGGAGCTGAGGTCTCCTCCATTTGCTCCCTTCCCATCTTTCCGCATGAGCACCACTTTTTGGAGACATCTTGTAAGCAAAAAGTACTTTGCCACCACAAATTCACGGCGGTTTCGCGGCGGGCAGGTGTCCGAGCAGCTTTTAATTCGGGTGCTCGATGGGTGTACGGGGCAGGTACCTCTCGCGGCAGCCTGCGCATCACGGCTGGTGTCGGAGATAGTTCACCAGGACCGTGGGGATCTCCAGCTCGCTGAGGGCGTGCGGGCGACCAGCCTGCTTCAGGAGGCGTCTCATCACCAGCCGGGACTGAGACATCAAGGACTTGGGATGAGCTGCGGAAGGAGAGGGAGGAAAAAGGAGACGGTCATCATCAAGACACACAACCCCACTCCCTTCCAACCTGGGCATCATCCTGAGCAAAGGACAGTGAAGGACCAAAGCTCAACGTCTTTGCTAAGGCTGTTTGCGCCATGGATTGAGCCACAAGCTCTGCCGGGCATACACAGATGAAATTTTCCACCGTCATATGGAAATAAGTGCAGTTTTTCTGGAGATAGGTGATACAGGACAGCTAAAGTTGAGTAGCAGAAAGGAGAAGAATGGCCAAAAGCAGCCTTTAACCCAACAGATTTATATTAAGTCAAAAAAACAGGCTGTAGAGATCCCCACGTGCTCCAGACCAGCACCGACCGCAGCGAGGTCATAGCGAGGACCGACTGCAGTGAGAACCTCATTGAGAGCAGCTTCTTTAGCAAACATCTAGAAATATTCATGAAAAGCAGACGCTGCGGGAGTCCAAGGGGGAAGATAACCATGTAAACGTACGTGGTGGCTGCGCCAAGTCACACCCCAGACCCAAACCAAGGTAGCCTCCTTCCAGCTGCAGCCCGCGGCAGAAATTGGGGATATTTAGTGGATATTCATTAGAAAGAAGCCCTCCCATGACACCCTCCCCCAAATTGCAGCAATTTTGTTCAGGCGTTTCCTGCAGTAGCACATGTATCCAAGCCACCAGGTTTAATCACCGGTGGTGGACCTATTCTCCAGAACTTTGTGATGTCCTTCTCTTGCTGTGTTCGGTATTGAACACTTGGGGGTTTTGGCCTGAACACAGCAATAATGGGGGAGAGGGACGATTAAGATTTCAGAGTAAAAGAGCAATAATACTCCAGAGTTTAAGACTAGAGAAACCCATGCACTCAAGCGATGCCTGGGTAGGGCTATGGAGAAGCAGAGGTAAAGGGATGGGGAATCTGAAGCAACTTGTACCCAAACGAGCAAAATTAGTGCTCGTTTCCAGCCCCAGGGCCATGTAGGCAGATTACCTCTTGCCTGCAGCAACAGCTCCAGGCCCTCACTGTGGGGTGCTGTCTCGTCCACGGTGATGTTGGGCAAGTACACGTTGGCTCCAAAGTCAACGAGCAGCTTGATGAACTCGCTCCGGCAGCTGTGCCTCAGGCAGGTTTCCAGCAGAGTCTTGGGCTCCTTGATCTGGGCGATCACCCTCTCCTCGGTGCAGTTATAGTTGGGATCAGCACCGTAAAGCAACAGCCTCTTAAAGCACTCCAGATGCCCGTACACGGCAGCAAGGTAGAGGGGACCAGAACAAGCCACCGAGTTGGCAGCCCACTCGGGCAACCTCGGTTGGACGTTGGTTTCCGCACCGTGGTCCAGGAGCTGCTGCAGGATGTCCACGTTCCCATCCCTAGCGGCGATAAGCAGTGGTGAGCAATTGTTGTAGATGCTGCCAATGGGGCTGGCCCCCGCTTCCAGTAGGACCTTCACGCATTCCCGGTGGCCGTTGCTAACCGCCATGAAGAGCGGGGTTTGAGCCTTCACGTCCAGGCTGTCCACCTCCGCCCCGTGAGCCAAGAGGACCTTCACGCTCCGGACACGGCCCCACGTGGCGGCCCGGGGCAGGGGGGGCGTTGGGGCGCCCCCAGGCGGAGGGGGGTGCTGGGTACGCCCCAGCCGCTCCTGCGGTTGATGAACCTCTTGTACCTGTCTTGGGACAAGAGGTTATCGAGGGTTTGGTAATTGTCCTCAGATACCGCTCGGTTCAGCTCCTCGCTTTCTCCGTTGTCTTCTTCATCTTCTCTGGGCTGGAGCATGGAGAACATTTTTGTGATATCCATTAGGCTCATTTTTTTTTGGTCTGTCTCCCACGTACTGCTTTCATCGTAAAAGGTAAAGCCAAAGATCTACAGGACAAGAAGAACACCACCACCACTGGGTTAGAACCAGGCCCCTGACACAACACCATATTTTTATTATTTTTTTTTTATGCACAATTTAAGGAAGATTCTCCAAAAAAAAAAAAAACCCAAAACAAATAACATTGGATTATGATGCTGCCAACATGCTTATCGCCCTGCCACCACAGGTGAGGACATCCAGGCTGGTGAAGGGCTAAGGCAAAGCCAGAGATCGTTGCTGTAACATGGACATGGGCCACCTCCCGTTGAAGTGTTGTGATCAAGAACGCACTGAAACGATTGGATTTGGTGTTGGGGTTCAAAGGCTGCATGGGGGAGCTCACAGGCTTTTACTTTATTATTTTTTTTAAATTCCTTAATGCTGTAGTGCTAGTCCCTGCAGCGGCAATGGGTGTGGGACAAACCATGGGATACTCCCACCTTGAGCTCAGGGAAGCTCGTGGGTGGCCACAGGCTGTTGCAAGGACTCTGCACCCCACTACTGGATGAAGCCACCCATTTTCCCCAAATCCCATCCAGCTATTGCCCGTGGGAGCCCAGTGAAAAAGGTGTTGGAAAGTAGGAGGAATGAACTCCGCATCCCGTCAGCCAAGGCTTCACCAGCACCTGCGCTTCCAAGTATTTTGGGACCCACAGAAAATGTGGAAGGGACTGGATTTCAAAAGGACTTTGCATTAAGGTCTTTGAGCAAACCCTCTTCTCTATCCCACCTTCTCGAGCTCGAGGAGCACAGCCGCAAGAAGGATTTGGGATTTTTATAGTGGGGAGGAAGATGAGGAGATGCTGAGCTGATCACACCGGAGCCAGGACTGAACCCCGACACATTTGCCGGGTGCTCAGCACAGGATCTGGCCTCGCCGTGGCCGGGCAGCAGCAGGGGGGAGGAATGCAGTGCCCCGGGAAGGGCAGAGGAATTTCTCGCCATGTCGCATCTCGGATTTCCTCGGGGAGAGCTCCGTCTGCCCAAGCGGCTCCTCCGATCCTCCCTTGGAGGAGGCAAGGAGCTACACCGAGCAATTAGCCTCCTTCTGCAAACGAGCCTGAGGGTAACGAGGCAGTCACGGGAGGCTCGTCCCAAATCCGCGAGACGTGCAAGGTGGGAGGAATTCCCCGCGCACGGCCACCTTCGCATCGTGGTTAAGTAGGGCAAGGTTGATGGCAGCGAGCGACGGCAAAGCTCTGCTGCGCTTCCACCTGTTACGCTAACCCAATTTCTACAAAAATATGTGAAATTCTAACATTGCTGTTACTCATTAGACACGCTGATAACGAGCTCTGGAGCTTCGGAAACCCCGCAGCTCCGTGGCTAAAGGGGTGGGGGGGTTATTGCAGATTTGAGTCAAAAAGAAGGCGCAGTTATATTCTCAAAGGAAATGGTCTGGGAAAGTTACAACCATCCATAACATTCCTGAACACACAAATAAGCATCTCCAGAGGGCCATTACTTCGGCAGCACAAGCACTCACAGGGGGAACTCACAGCTGCTCCTCAACCAGAAGAGCCCAAAGATGAGCGTTGTCACCTCTCGAGCCAGAGGAAGCTGTCCATGCACAGAATCAGAGAATTATCGAATCATAGAATGGTTTGGGTTGGAAGGGACCTTTGAAGGTCATCTAGTCCAACCCCCCTGCCCTGGGCAGGGACACCTTCAAGGAGATCATCTAGACAAGCATCTGTAGACACCCCCTGCCCCCCAAAAAATAAAAAAAATTAAAAAAAAAAAGAGGTTCTGAGTGGAGCTAAAGGTGACAAAGAACACACTGGCACTTCTACAACAGGTTGCCAAGTTACCTTCAATAGCCCAACGCTGCCTGGGCGCCGTTCCGCTGCCACCTCACCTGCGGGAGGGAGGGAGGGGATGCTCACAGCCGGGGCGGACGAGGCAGCGGCGGTCCCATGGTGAGTTCTCCCTCGGTTTAAACCCCCCCAAAAAATAAGGAGAGAAAAAGAGAGATCTTGCTGTGTCAGGGATGGACGGTCGCTCTGCACGACCGGAACAACGCAGGCTGTCAAACTCACAGCTGAAATGCCACCGCGGGGAGAAGGGCCGGGGCGCTGGGGCTAATTTTAGCCCCTCAGGGGTTTTATCTTACCACTTCCATTCTTGGCAAGTTCCCCCCTGAGTAAATATAGAGAGGGGCAGCGAGGCGGGGGGAGGCTGGGACAGGTGCTGGAGGCTGCTTGACCCATCCGAGCAGACACAAAGCGTTTGCTCCAACCGTTTCCTGGCGGAAATCGCGGGGTACCGGGCGGTTGGGGTCCCCCACCAGGGCAGCGCGTTCCCTACGACAGCACCAGCCTCTACCTCTACGTTATCTCCATCAGTGCCAATCACCCAAACGGGTTCCCTCTCTAAACCCCTCTCCCCACCGCCGCCTTTTCCACTCTCGGAGCAATACAGGTGCCCATTCGCAACACCCAGGATGGCTTATTGATCGCAAAAAGGACAAAAGGCACTGAAAACGGACCAGATTTCTTGCCCGTGCTGCTCCTTGGGCTTCCCCCGCAGAACAAACCTCTTCTTTGACTTTGTAAAATTAAGCAGCACATAGCAAGGCAGAAAACTTTACAGGGGCAAACAAACCAAGCGGGGAGCAGTGCTCGGGCTGCCTTATCAAAAGCTGTCAGCTGGTAAGTGTAATCGTATTTTATCCAGTCCCCTTTAAACCTTCTTCCCAACTTTTTGGCGGCGGAGCAGGACCGGTCTGACAGTTGGAGGCAGCATTATCAGCGGTGCTAGATAAGGAGAGGGGAACCAAATTATCCAGCAGAAAAATCTCCACTGCTGCAAGAAGTAAAATCAGGGGGCTCTGCAAAACATTTACCATGTCCTCACCATCGCCACCGCACTCACAGTTTGTAGCCACACTGTGAAAAGCGCAGAGAGCAGGAAAACGTTCAATATCGATTGGTTTTAGACTGGTTTCCTCATAGTTTCACTCTCTCCAAATTCACTCCAAAATAGATCGGTGCGTCAAAAAGGTCAATTTCCCAAAGCCAACACTACGGATGGAATTATCGAGCGGGAGAAACGTGGATAAACATCAGAGCAAAAGCTGGGAGTTCAGGGTTTATTAAGCGTCGAGAAGCTGCAGCCACAACGGGGGTGCTGCAGTCAGAAAAGCTAAGCCAGGCTGGAAACCCCTTCAACAAAACGCAGAAATAAAAGCAGCAATTACAAAAACACAGTGTGTCATAATGTGAAAAAAAGGGGATACAGACAACAAAATGAATACATGTTACAAAATACGAAATGTAGGAAACTGTAAGGGAACTTAGAGATGAAAGGAAAAGCCTTGAATGGAAAATTTAATGACAAACTCTATATTCTTTTGTTGTTGCCGCTGCTGTTCAGTTGTTAACCAAGAAAAGAAATCTTAGATACAAGACCAACTCTTTGGTAAGGAACGGAGATTAAACCCAATACTAATGAAGCAAAAAATATGAGGTACTTGCTGATAAATCCACCCTCAACTGGAAGAATGCAAACCGACGTACTCATTGCGCTCCCTTAACAGCCCAAGAGACACATTAAATTGCATCCTGCACGAATAATTAAATCAGCAGATCCAGATAAACCCCAACCGGGAGCCCAAGGGCAAACGACTGATAAGTCCGACCCATTTTGGATAAAAATTCCCAACGCTTCAAACACCGGGGAAGGCTGAGGAATTGGGGGGAGGCTCCACCTTCCGCCTGAGCTCCAAGCGGAAGCCGGCTGCCCCCGAGCCGCTGCCTGAACTGGCACGTGCACCCAGCAAAGCAAACTCCGTTATCAGCTCTCCGTTAACTGGAAAAGAATTAAAGGGCAGAAGTATCTTTAATGCCAATTAAGGAGGGGTTTTGGGAAGGTAAATCCTGTCTAACGAAATTGCTGTTATTACAGAGATTATTTTTATTAATGCAGCTGAAAGAGGGTAATGAGCTTTCTCATTTAACACCACTAAGCATTCTGATTTAAAAGTTTAGTGCTAAACAGAACCAAATAAATCATTTGGAAGAGATTAAGGATTTACCAACAGTCCTCAAGGTCAGAAACGCAGTTATTGCGCAGGGCTACTTCTGACTCCTGCCTTTAAACTGTAAATCACTGCCAAACCGCGGCAAAGCCTTTGAATTTGGGAGTTTCCCCTCCGTGCTGATGAAAACACCCGCTCACAGCTTCCCAGCACCGACCCCTGCCTGCTCTGCCGGCCACCTCCTCACCGACCTGCACGGAGGTGGCTCCAGCAGCAGCACGATTCAGATATTAACCATGAGAGGGCACGAACACCTGTGGAGCATCTCTTGCCTGCGCTGTACGCACCCGCAGAGCAACAGCTCCCCTTCTTAGGCACATCACAATTTAACGGGTGCGCTAACACACAAAATACATAGTTAGAACCGAAGGGAGGAATCCAACAACTGCTGCTTCTCCTCCGCGAGCTGTAATTCCTCGAGGAATTTCGGCAGCATCAGAGCCCCAGAAGTTTGGTGGCGTTGCAAGACAGCTCCCTGCTTCCACCGCCTCCCGGGAGCTCCTCTCCTTTTAGGTCTGAGGATGCGCTGGAGCCAGGAGCTGTAAACCGGTGCGAGAAGATCATCACTAAGGACCTGAAATACAGAACCCAAAGTCAGCGTGCGCCCGCTCTTTGTTACGCGAGTTATCTGCCCGACACAGATCGCTCACACAAAGCTGTCTGTCTGCCCCAGTACGCTCTTCTAGACGTGCTCCAGAGCTGGCAACGCTGCCAAGTTCTTTCTAGGAGAACTAGGGGGTCTTCTCTGCTTTTATTTTACAATATTAAAATGTGCTGGTTTTCACCTGGTCCAGTGGGAGGTGTCCCTGCCCAGGGCAGGGGGGTTGGAACTGAATGATCTTCAAGGTCCCTTCCAACCTAAACCATCCCATGATTCATTCCAAAGCTTTGAGGAGGAAGGAAAACTCCAATAAT